CCAGCAGCTCCATTGTGGTTTACAGAGGTGACTTGGCCCTGGCTTGTGCTCTGAGGGAAGAGGATTTGCTTAGCCAGCAAAGGTTTATCTCAACTCGATGGGTTGAAGCTGGCATTAAACCAGTTCAGAGAGGAAAACTCTGCTGTGGGAGGTTGGACCTGCAGGGCTGGTGGGAGGGAGGTGCTGGCAGGGTTGGAGATCATGGCAATGGCAGCGTGGGAGGCTGCAGCAGTAGGATAAATCAAAGGGCTTTCTGGAGAGGAAGGAAGGTTTGGTGAGATTGTTACTCCCTGGCTTGCTTTGTGTCCATAGTCATCAATTAGACCTTCCTGGTCTATTTGTTCTTCCAGGGAAAGACACTTACTGGGGATGGTTTGTGATTGATGCTTTTCTGTCCTGGGCTTTGCCAAAGCTGATACAATCGTGAAAATGAGCTTAAAGCAAAGGAGAAGCATGGCAGGCCCCTGCTCCATTTGTTGTATTAGTGCTAAGCACTTGTAAGAAAGATATGTGAGGGCTGCAAAGTGTGCGTCCTGTCATGTAGAACTGCTGTGGGACTAATGTCACAGTAACTGTAAACTGGTTAATTGCACTTACCTGTTGAGATTTTGCATACCTTATCTAGCCAAGTAGTGACTCCTCATGACCCCGGGAGTATGGTTGTCCTCTTTGAATTTGGCCAAGCCTGCTGTTACAAAGCAACAATATCTTGAGACCCTGAAGTCCCCAGCTCTGGTTTTAGAGGCTGTTTGCATGATGTTGGAGCTGGTGTGCCTGTATCTGGTGGCAGACAGTGAAAATGCATGGAGGTGAGTGGCTCTGCATTATAGTATTGCCATTTCACAAGTGATTAGGCCTAAAGGAGTATCACTGTGCTCGTCGAGAAATGAGGCTCTCAAGTTTTCATAGATGTGCATGGCATTAATTCCTTTCCTTTAATTCCTTGCTTACAAAGTTAATTTCACTAGTTAAGCAGTTTCTGGTCTCTTGAACCATGTCGAAAGACAAAGGAGAATGTCCTTTCAACAGTGGAAGCTCAACCCAGTCCATTCTGTCACTGAAAAGAGAAAGCGTATGTGAAAATGAGAAATGGTGAAATTAGATTAGAAAGTTTACAGTACCTCCTGAAATTTTAGTACGTGTATTGTGTTGGAGGTCTCAGCACTTTGTTTGTCTGGGACAAACTTTAATTTGTGCAAACTGCTTTGCTAATCCCTAGTCTAGACACTCACATTTCCAGTGCCTGTTCATCTTTATTTCTGCTTTCATCTAGCAGATTTTTTGGGTCTATCACAGAGCATCAGTCAGAAAGAACTGGGGTCTTCTGCTCCTGTAACTCCCACGTGTTATCCCAGCCTCGTGCATGGTGATATGGGCTGTGTAACTACACAGGGAATTTACAGGTATGAGCTGTCTTGTTGATGTGGTAAAATCTGAAGTCTGCGCTCAGCTGTACATACTGTGCCTTTAATATACCCAGAGCTTGTGTGTGCTTATATTGACTTCTTCCTGAAGAGAGAGGTGTTAGTGTGAAGGGAGAGGAAGGAGTGGGTGGATGTCAGTCTGCCCTCCTCAGAGGGTTTGGCAAGGGACTGACTACTATTTCAGAGAACCTGTGCTGCTCCTGTCAAGTATGCTTTCAATTAACAGTGAAAAATGTCCTGTAGTCAAACATCTATATTCTAGGAAAAGAATCTGACAAAGCACGTCAGTCTTTAAAGATAAGCTTTATATTCACTTTGCCAGGCTTGTTCACAGCTGTCAGGGCTCCACTCCGGATGCTGTTTGCTCTCTTCTCTCTATCGGTGTTTGCTGTTGGGTGCTTTGTAACGATCTGTAATATCTAGGGCTTTTCTGGGAAGCTGCTACCATGCTGTTTCTTCCGTGTTTTGTATTAACACAGACCTGATGAACTGTAGAGGTTTATGGGGCCCTGTTGAATTGTATTTATTGTTTTCAGGCTTTTTTCCCATTTATTGAGATAATTTTGAATTCTAATATGTTGCCCAATAGGCCTGAAACTTTTAGTGGATTTCCAGTGGATTTGATATGTGTTCTCTGTCTCACTATCCAAGTTGCTTATGAAAATGCTGGATCCAGAGCAAACCCAAGACCTGCTCTCACCATAGCCCCTCTGCTCTTACACTGAACTCCTGGTAATTCTGCTCTGACAAGTGGCTTTCCAACCAATTTCACCCATTCTGCATTAGTTTCATCTAGACTATAATTTCTCTAGCTTGCTAATGGCAATGTCTTACCAGCCCCGATCAAAACCTTACCAAATATATCTGTCTACTGCTTCTCCACACCCTTAGGACTGATTACGTGGTGCGGTCTTGACAAATCTCAGTTGGCTGCTTTTTATTACCTTGTTATCTGCTTGGTGCTCACAGATTACTTGTTGATTACCTGTTGATTAGATGTCTTTCTTGAAGCTAGGCCCTCTGAGCCTAGACTCCCCTGAATCTTCCTTTTTCCCTGTTTGAAGAGAGCACAAAGAGATACTGACTGAGATAAAAATGAGAAATGCTCTTAACTGACATTTAATTCCCAGTGCTCTTTACCGCTTTTTAAATTTGATGTATCAGTAATGTGAGAATGATACTGTCTGGTGGAATTACCCGTAATAGTTCAAGTTTAAATGTGTCGTAGCCCTTATGGCACTAAGGGGCCTTCCCATCCCAGCCCTCCCCATTGCCCAGGACTCCATGTCGGCCCCCCAGGACTCCCTCTACCCTGCCCATGGCCCAAGACCCCAGAGACCCTTAGCCCCGGCCGCAGCAGGGATGGTTCCCAGATCCCCACAGCCCTGCCTGGCCCTGCCAGGGTGGGCCCATGGCTTGGACCGGCCCCAGAGAGGTGCCTGATTTGCAGGGCTGGGGCTGCCCCAGTCCCCCCCAACTGCTCCGCTCCTCCGTGGAGGGTGGGATGGTCCCTGGCTGCCGAGCCCTCCCCTGAGCACTGCCATGGCGAGTTCCTGGCCCTCGTGGTGCCCTGACAAAACAGCTCCTGGGGACTTGTTCTTGTGTCCAGCATTTTGCACCATTTTCCTGGGAATATAAATTAAAACCAGCTGTTGCTTTTCCAGGGCTTGGAGAGACTGAGATAAGTCCTTAAGGGCAAGCAAGAGACGGCAAAATATTTAAAGATGTGTTAGAAGATGGGCTTTTGCTATGAATCAGTGTTGTTTTCTAGGGCAAGCAGAAAAAGAGAAATGGAAGCTAAGTTTGACAAAACACCTAGAAGGAATTAAAGGAGGAAAACATTTCAATTTCTAGAGGTGTTAAAGTAATTATTTTCCTCCTTGTACTGAAAATATAATTGCAAAGCAGACTCTAGGCAGCAGGCTGTGAAAGCAGCTGCAGTGGTAACTGAGCCATTGCCCTAACCCAGCGAGGTGGCCAAGCTGGTGCTGCAGCAGCAAGTGTGGTGAGGGGCATGGGGGGACAAGGGCATCCCTTGCAGAGGGGTGGCGGGGGGACAAGAGCATCCCTGGTGAAGGGGAAGGCAGGGCAGGGTGCTTGCTGCCTGGAGGGGTGTATTGGAGGTGGACTGATCTGCCAAGCTGTGCCTATGTGAGTCCTGCACTAGGGTAAATCCATATGCAGCGGCTTAGTTGTGCAGTGGTTGAGTAAGTTTCTTTGTGTTGAAAATAGTGGCACCTTTTTATTTCCTATGGAAAGATGTTTCCCTTGTTCTTGGATGGTATAAAAGGGAAATCTGAGCATCAGGCTGACCTTGACTCTTTTAGGCATAATTTTATGAACCACCTTCAGTTTTTTTTCCTCATTTCATTAATCTTCTCCAAATGGAACAGTGCTAACCTTTAATTTCTCTTCATTCTCCAGTAGCTTCCTTCCAGAGCCCAGTTTGACAGAGGCTGCACTGTGGCCATGGCTGCTGAGCTGTCACTGATTAAATGTAACAGCATTCATGGCGGTTTCAGTTTTCCCTGTCCCATTTGCAGTGCACTCAATTTGCTGTGTTTCCCATCTCAGTGGGCTGAGTGCAGGGTTGCATTGAGCTGTCCACAGGGATGCTCAGCCCCATAACCCGAGTGGTCACGGTTCGTTTGAAATCCATCAGCGTGCATGAATAGTTCAATTTGTTTCCTCTAATGTTCATTACCTTGCGCTTGTCTATGCTGAATTTCATTTGCCATCATCTTACCCAACTGTCTGGTTCTCTTAGGGCTGTCTGCACTGTAGGGTAGTGCTTCTCAGAGAAAGGTGCAGAGGGATTTGTTCTTCTAAGCGCTCTCCTGCTTCAGGAATTTGCCGTGATGCTGGGTCTCTTGAGTTGTTTCTCAGCCCACTAAGATGGCTCAACAAAAATGCCTTTTCCAGCAGTTTTAGCGAGCTCAAGCACTCCTTCATACAAGAATTGTGCCCATCCTCTCTCCCAGTGGCCCTAGTGAATGATCTTCAGCTGCTGGCATTGCACTGACTTTGTAGCCTAGGAAAGCTAGAGGAAAATTAGGAGAGGAGAGAGATGGCCCAGGTGATGGCCCTCTTGCATGGGACTGTCACATGCAGTTTCCAGCTTTATCATAGACTTCTGTGAGGCTTGGCGAAGCTGGGCAAGGGACAGCAGGGAACGTGTTAAATCAGCTGCCTCTATGTTTGTGTGTGAAATCAGTTGCTGGAAGGCTGAAACTGTTTTTCCTCAAAATACTGTGCTTCAGCCACATTGGCTGGAGGCTGCTTTCAAACCTGCATTGCCTGGAAGAGTTTCCAAATGCCTGCAGTCCCGCACGTTCTGTGTAACAAGTGCTAAAGGGAATTTGGCTCTGCCTGTGCTATCGGGAACAGCAGCTTTCATCCACAGCTCAGTTGGTGAGGATAGCGAGGCCTGCAATTTTCCTCGGAGAAGGCGATTATAACACCATGTCTGTGAGGGTTTCTTGCTTTCCTTCCCAAGCTCTGGCCTGTCCTGCCTCCCCCCAGACCTGAGTCACTTCCAGATGTGTGGCAAACAACCTGCCTTCATGTATGCGTGCCTGAACTTCTTACCTGTGTCTAAACACGAGTCGGCTGCTCTTCCTGATGCTCTGATGTTTGTCTCTGCTCTAGATGACAAGGGCTCCCCAAGGAGAGAAGAACAGCCGGAGGGGTTTTGACGAAAAGGCTTACTTGTCCTCAAAGCTGCTGAAGGCCGGAGAAGACCCCTACCGCCAGCATGCTTTTAATCAGCTAGAGAGCGACAAACTCAGCAGCGACCGGCCCATTCGGGACACCAGACACTACAGGTACTGTGCAGCCCTTGCTCCAAGCCGTGGCTGCTGCTTGGTGTAGGGAGGCCACTGCCCTCCTGTGTTCTGCGATGTTGATAATGGATGGTTTGGGTTTTAATTCGCCAGCATCGGTCCATTACTTCACTGTATTTCATGGTTAATCTGGAAAGGTCTCAAATGTGCAGAGACCCTAGACTAATTTGGCCCCAGCTTGTTGCTTTTCTAGCATCTCCTCTCCCAGGTCCAAGCATCATCTTGTTGTTTCAGCGCAGCCCCTCCATTGCAGCTCAAATTGCTCATCCGACAGTTGTTTTTTGCACAGCTCATGGTTTCTCTCAGTGGGCCTCTGTCCTGGCTGCAAGGTTCGCTGTGGTTGCTGCCTTGCTTTATCCTGACGTTCCTCACTTGCTGTGCCCTGGCTCTCTGAAGCTGGTTTAATGCCCTCTTCCCAGCCTGAGCATTATGGTTTGGATGAATGCTGTTGGGGTGGGGATGAAACTAACGAGTGAATACAGTGAATATTTCATATCTTGCAAAATGCTTATCATTCTGTCCTTGTTTCACTGAGGGTGAATTTATTCTGCTGACTAAACTCATCCTTAAATTGCTTATAGTGCTCAGGTGATTATTTTGTACTTTCTGGAGTACAAAGAGATAAGAATGTACCTTGAAAACTGTAGGTTTGGTACTGATAGGGTAGTGAAAAACAGCCTGCTTCAGTGGAGAAAAAACAGAAGCAAATTAACCACGTCTGAAATGCTTGTCTATCTGGAACCTAGACCCTACCTAGTGTTGTAAAACAACACCTCACAGCTGCTGGAAATGGGAAACCAGGCATTTAACTTGACTGAAACTGTGAAAGGGATGTCAGGAGATGTGGAGCTTTGGGAGCCTCCCAGCACTGACAGCCATCAGGGTGCTACGTGAATGCAAGCAGGTGGGACTTCGGTTGTGATATGAAAGCCTTGTGCTCCTGTTCCCCAGCATAGCACTCAGGACTGGCTTCCCAGTGACTCAGAAGCAGTGGTGCCATGTCCTGCATTGCTGACAAGGCTCTCTGCCGTACAGAACTGCTGCGTTCTGTTAATCTGCTGTCATGTTGTGGCTTAAAAACCTGCTCACTTCAAAGGTGAATTATTGTTTATTTTGATCTGTGGTAGCATGCAGAGCATGCTTGATGTGAAAAGCCTCATCTGTGCACTTGAGTGTGAAGAACGACATACATGTGATTCCCTGGAAATGTATGGCCATTTCAAGCCCCGGCTTTGCAAGGATTCCCTCCCGCAATGGGGAGTCCAAAGCAGTGTCTAATCAGAGCAGCTAAACCAATTTCCACGTTCATTCCTTTTGCAGAAGTGGCAGTTTGGGTATGAGGGAGCTGTTTTTGAATACCTTGTACTGTAGCACTATTGGAATGGTTGCTGGGATGGCAGCTTAGGATGAGGACTGACTTCAGCTGGTACAAGTTAGATGTGGTTTGAGAAAAGCCCATCCTTACGTCACAAATGGACCTGATTCTGTTTAAGGAGTGGGGAGTTAATAGGTTACTAACAAGTCACTTTTCCTTCAGGCACCTAAGCAGAACTTGGGCACACTTGACTCCACATCCTATAAGCTCCTTCTGACCTAGCAGGTAGATATTTCTTTGATCTAAAGCAAACTTTCAAGCACAGAGTTTGTCCTTGTCCTCTGTGATGCTGTAATAATGCTGAGATCTTGGTAAGACTTCCTCAAATAAGACATACTTTTCTGCTTCTGCACTTCCTGGTGCCTTAATACATTTTATATGCATTACATCATGGAGCTATTTTGAAGCAATAATAATTGTGGTATGTCTCCTGTCTGATCTCAGGTTTTCCACTTTAGTCTTTATCAGGACTTCTTTATATGTTTGAAAATTGTTGTACAGAGCTGCTGTTCCCTTAATAAAATGCTGCAATGAAAAAGTCATAAACCAGTAGGATTTAATGTGATGATAAAAACAGTAACAGTTTAGTAATAGCTATAAAAGAATAGTAAATAAAGGTGGAAGTAGAAGTAGTGGCTATAAGAAGTGAATTGTATACCCTTCCAGGATGGATTCAGTCTACACGTGGCCTTGACTCATTAAAAACACTGGGCCACAATTTCATATGTGGCCTTTTCATCAGGCAGGGAATCAGTGCACCCTGACTTCTGTATGGCACTGGCTGGAAGCTAAGGCGGCAGACACTCTGGAGGTGCGGATCAGCCCAGATCTGCCATTCCAAGTATCTGTCAGAATTGGATCCAGGATTCACATCTGCAAGTGGTTCTCCTCCAAGAATCCTTGTTCTCCACAGGTTATGAGCAGCCCTGGTGGAAGCTGATCCTGAGTTAATTCTTGGTTCTGAGTATGAGAATGAATGTGTGTGTCTAACATTACAAAGTCAGATGAGAAGATGGGAGGAATAGCGTTCCACTGCCAGCTGAGATGTTAGTGTTGAACCTCAGCAGCTCCCTGATGGAGGTCACAGCACTGGATAGAATTTTGCCTTTCTGTAAAGCCCAATGTCCAAAGAATTGGAAGTGCTTTATACAGCGATGCCTGGGTGTCCCAGCACTATGCATCCTTAGCATGTGCATGTCCTGTGCATGCTAAAACAAGATTTCACATGAATCACAGGCAATTCCAGGGACTAGAGCCCACTACGTTGATCCTGTGTTCCCCATGAAACCGCTGTGCCCTCCTCAGCGTGCAGCATCGTGTGTTTAGGTGTTACAGCCTCCAAACTTTGCAGGCACAGTTCTTTTTAAACTCTACCAACATTGGTGCGGGGGCTGCTGAGGCCTCCCTCACTGTAGCTCAGCCGTGCTGTTTCTGGTTTTAGCGTTACTATTCTCTTCTACTTTAGAAATTCTAGGTATGGTGCTGCAGTGGCTGCTGCTGGGCAATGCTTGGCTTACACTTCTCCCTTCCTGTGTTGCAGGTGCACTTCTGTGCGCTATGACGCAGACTTGCCAGCTACCAGCATCATCATCACCTTCCACAACGAGGCACGCTCCACCCTGCTCCGCACGGTGAAGAGGTGAGTTCAGCAAGGGGTGCTGGGCCCAAATGCTTACGCCTGGAAGGACACCGGTGAAAGGTTAGGCTTTTTCCAGCAGTTAGACAAGCAAGGTGGCTGCAGTCCCCCAAATGCTTGCCATCTGCCCACTGGGACAGCTTAGGGGCTTGGATTGTCAGTGTGGGTGTAACTTGAAAGGCAGAACGTATCTGCAGTTAGCTGCCATGTATTCCTCATGGGGTAAACATTAGCAGGAGGAAAGGGGCTGCTGGTCCAGCAACTGCAGGTGGGAACAGTCTGTATGAACTTGGTTTGGAAGATTTGAAGGGGGGACCAAAGGGCACATGGTGGACTGCTGGATGCAGCTGAGCAAAGGGGCTTGGGATGTACTGTGTTTCATAAATGGGAATAAGCAGCCAGCTGCCTGCTAGGGCATGTGTTACGGTAGCTGGGGCTGGCTCAGAGAAGACAGGAGGCACAGCTCACAAGTCTTTCCAGCAGAAGGTGATGAACTCAAAGCCTCATGGAGACCAAGCCCTTGTGGTCTGAGCAGGTGCTCAGAGTCACTTGCAGGTAAGCAGTTGCTGAACCTGATGGCCCTGATCCTCCTTGGGGCCTTGTGCACAGACCCTGCTTAACCTGCAGGACACTTGGTGTCTTGTGCCCGTGTCTCCTCATAGCCCAATATCATCAGCAGTGGCCAAATCTATTCAAGTAAATAGGAGGCATAGGGCCTGTCAGCATCCCTGAGTAGACAGGAGCATGCAATTATCTGTACCACAAAGCAGTGTTCCAGCTGCTCCTTCCCTTCCCCATGACCCCTGCAGAACCCAAGGGGGATCTTTTCCTTTTAGTTTTTACAGAGTAAATGCCCTCTGCCCTCTCTGACTTACGAATTCATTTCTCAAAGGGTTTCTGAAGCCTGCAAGCAGGTCCAGGAACAGCCTGTGGAGGCTGAAGGAAGAGTGAATTGGCCGGGTGGAAGGTTGAGCTGGTGGTATCACTAACAGGAATGCATTATTCATAATCATCACTTCTTCCCTTGTCAGATCCTGTGGGCTTAGAGAAATGTGGTTTATGAATAAATAACAGGCTTTTTCAAGTTGGCCTCGTGGCTAGAAGGCTGGGTTTCTGTCTGCCAGGTTTGGTGCTACTGTGTTTCCAGAGACCTGCATATATTGCATTAGCACATTTTGCTTTTTTACCTCGATCATTTCCTTTTAATTTGAACCATAAAATGAGTTCTACCGAGCCACTGTTCAGAAAAGGAGCAGATTTGTTTGGAACCACGGTGCTGCTAGGGCAACGGGAGGAGATTTATGCTGATTACTTCATAGGTCAGACAATAAATGGTTGGGTGCTCAGAAACCATGGCAGAAGGATCCTTAGGAAAATCTCAAGGCAGCCACTCAAACAGCCAGATGTTGTGGTAGTTAAAATGAAGAGAGGGTCACATTCAGAGCAGCAGTAATGCATAAAGAGAGGAATTGATATCCAGACGTTATGGAGCTGATGTGTACTAATGAGCAGATGAGTGTTGCCAATGCAGTAACAAGCCAGCCTTGCTCAGAGCAAGGTCCACTTGCTCAGGGCTGTGCCTGGTCAGTTTTTAGTATCTCGAGGAATGGAAACTCTGCAGCCTCTGTGAGCATTCTCTTCTCACGGCTAAACAACTCCAGCGCTTTCAGCCTCATCTCATACACCTGATGCTGCAGTCCCTTAATTATTTTAGTGGTCCTTCACTGGACCTGCCTCAGCATGTCCCTGTTTTTCTTGACCTGGGAAGCCTGGAACTGGACACAGCACTCAAGACGTGGTATTACCAGTGTCTCAGATGTGGTCTCCTGCAACCGAGCGCCCACAACAAAGACCTTGAAAAATGGCTGAGCCATCTGTTCAGGCTGGTCCCTGCCATCTGGCTGAGGGCCTGCTGGGTAAGTGCTTGTGAGGGACTGGCTGCACTCTGCTGGGAATGGTGGCGTTGATGGTGTTTCCTCCCAGACTTTTGGCTACAGCTAGAAGCATCACTGCCATATGGTTTAGAGCCAGTGCGTGTGACTGGTTTACTCCTTGCTTACATCAGATGTCAGAAGCATCCATGATTTATCCCTGTCTGATGAGGGAACCCAAAGGCCAAATTCTTCTTGGGCTCTACGGTGTTTGCAGCGTCACAATGGGCTGGCAGCCTTGTCTTTGAGGCATGGGAGGTTTGACAGCCACACACAGAGGTGAAGGCTGTGGTCACGACTGCACTCTTAGAAGAGGCATGGGGCTGAGCTTCACTTGCAGGTCGACACTGATGTTACAGAGGGAGCTGAAGATTTCATGGTGCTCTTCAAGGCCTCTTCTGTAACCTGAGAGTCTTTGAGCAAAACACATCTGAATGTGCCACTCTGAGTTACTGCTGTGGGTATGATTGTTGCTCAATTCGCATACGGTCAGTGCATCAAACACTGTGTAATTACTGTGCAGCACTGTGGGATAAGTCAAGTATTAAAGAAGGGACAGGACTGTTCTGTTCTGTTTGGTTTATGACCTGACTGTGAGTCTGCAGAGGATCACAGTGATATTAAGCAACAGGAGACATAAAATTGTACTGCCTGCTTACCTGCTGACTGGTCAGGCTTGCAGCCTGTCGTTATTTCTATATCCACGAGAATAAAATTGTACTGCCTGCTTACCTGCTGACTAGTCAGGCTTGCAGCCTGTCATTATTTCTATATCCATGAGGGCTTTCTTAAGCCAGGTAGAGCATGATTGTCTAGATAATTAGAATTAACTGTTTGAGACGCTCCTGGTGAATGTTAAATTTTATTTCACTGCTGTTATGGGCCTTTTCCAAAGTTTAGTTATCGTAATTACGCTATGGGGAAGCGATAAGAAAAGTCGAGGTGGAAGAGGACAATGGATGGAAACGAACAGCACTAAGAGCACAGTTTTCTATGGCTGAAAACTTTTTTAGAGGCCTAATCTTTAGAGGTGAGTAGAATATATACTGCCAGTTGAAGGTTTCATCCCTGAGATCTTTGCAAGCCTGACTGGTGAGTGCCTGAATTCAGGCACTCAAAAAATCAGCTGTAAAATTGTAAAATTTTGGGAAATTCTAGGAAGAAATATATTAAAATGGTGTTGGTACTAAGCTAATCTTAAAACTAGAAGGAGCCTAAATGCACTCCCCTGAGGCAGGTACCATCTTACTGTGTTATTCTGACAGCTGTGCAAAGTAACCCAGCTAAGGGGCGATGCTACTACCAAGAGGCCTTGGGAAGTGACCCAGGGCGGTTCCTGCAGTACCGTTTATTTCAGGGTGATCTAAATGTGGCAGCCGTAGGAGCCACATCCTGATCCGCAGACCCTTCATGCTAACCACAGCGGCATGTGTGCCCATGTGGGCTTGCACAAGCACCTCTGGCAGCTCTCCCTGCATCCCTGCCCCTGGGACCTCTGCTGCCAGGCAGACGCAATGGGAGCGATGTGCTGCTGTTGCCACTTCGGGGTGGGAGAAATATTTCTGTATGAGGGAGAGGGGGAAATAAGGCAGTGACTGTCAGGATGAATAACTTCTTTCCTCCAGCACCTTGTCATTGTCCCTCCTGATCCCCAGAGGCAGCGTGGGCCGCATGCCTGCCTGCTGCTGTTTTTCTCCTCTGCCCAGAGGGACCAGGCCAGTGCGCCAGTAGGCAATGCTGCCCCAAATTCTGATGGTCCCTTGCAGACAGTCCTTCAGAGTAACTTTGTTGATTTGTTTTCAGCGTAGAGGGAGGCAGCTGGTTAAAAATGTCCAGCGAGAGGCTAAGAAGGGGACTAGGGGAAAAGAAAAAAAGGAAATGGGCTGTCCACCAAATACCAGTTCAAATGGCTCATTGCTGGCGTCCTCAGTCCTGCAGGAGATGTGTGTCAGTCAAGAGCTGCTTGCCTGCGTGACATCTCTTCCTCAGCAGGACGTAGCTGTCACTTTCAAACCAGCTACTTGCTCGGCATCCTGCTCTCCTTCAGCAATAACTGTCACTCAAAAGGCGTTTGGTGTGAGTGATGGCTGTGCCTGATTAGTCATTAGTCACCATCACTTCTGCTGCAGTGACCGCTCTTGCAGAAGAGAAAAGCAGCTGCTTTGTTGTCTGGTCCCTTTTTTTCCTCTTTATTTCTGATTTCAGTCGGAATTGCGGGTCCGGTTTGTCTTTGGTGCAAACGTAGAGGTGAATAGTCAGGCTTTAAGTCAATGGACTTGGACATCTGTCATTGATTTGGTGCCCATGCAGAGTGCCTGTATAAATTCTGATTGAAGGGATGCTGTTGTAATGCTGGAGCATTTGGTATAGCAACTCATTACAGCGACAGTTTAAATAATGCCAAAAGAGGAGATTATTTTAGAGCAAAGGAAAGAAGGAGATGCTTCTCTGCTAGCAACTGGAATAAGGGAGAGTATCTGTGAGCTGATGAGATATGGACAGGTCAGCAGAGGAGAGGAGCTCGTTGGCAGTGCTGATGTGGTGTCATGCGACAGAGTAAGGACACTGGTACTGAAAGAAGAAAGCTGTGAGGAAAGACAAAGGAGGAAAGGAATCCCTGAGCTGAGGGGAGAACAGTCTGTGTTTCTGCTGTAAAAGGCAATCGTCATTTGGAATTTGAAATCCTAATAATACACTTTGTGCCCGAAAGTAATTGATTGTCACGCCAGTCTCTGCACCTCACTGGAGGGAAATGCGAGGATTACTGTGTTCCTTGTTAAAAAGACAGGCAAGACAAAGTGCTAAGGAGATTAAGTACCTTTCTTTCCCAAGGAGCCACAGCAAATTATTGCAGAGCTGAGAGCAGAACTGGACATTGAACAGTGAGCTGTGAACTCCTCCAGGAGTGTTTTCTCTCCACTGAGGAATCGGTGGACAGGTGAGGAAGAGGGGAAAAAAGCCAATGCTTTTGTTGTATTATGTTGTGTCGGAAGACCTGAAAGTTGTGGAGAAAATGTGAGCATCGCTAATAGCCAGGCTAGTGGGAGAAGGTGTAGATACCATTTTATGGCC